TATATATATATATATATATATATAATTTTAATGAAAAAATTATAGAGATAATTACATATGGACCACCAGAATCACTGATACTTACAAATAAATCACAAATGTGATTTCTGTGAAGTACTGAACTGATGTAATTACACGTGACACATTCAAACTATTGATGATTTGATAAAAGTGAAAAATATGGGTGTGCATTCTTTTTGCTTGTATTCTTACACTTTGAATGTTTAGTGTTGACACCCAAGTCAAAAGGATAAAGAAATTATAAACACATTTGTGAACAAGGTTTTGAAATAGGACTGGTCATTGCACTGATAGAAGAAAGAATTCAGGGTTTGAGTTGGATGACAGAAATAAATAAATACTATTTAAATAATATAATAATGATGTGAATGTATCACAAAAATAAAAATAATTATTTCCTGAAATATAGAATGCTCACAATAAGTATATTATCTAATTAGAAATTTAAATGTTTATTAATTCTAATTTTATATCCAATTTATTTCTTATAATTTAATTATGTTTAAAAAGCAAAAAGGATGAATTGGGCAAGAGATTGAGGGGTGGATATAAATTTTTAATTGCTCTTGAGTTTTAATAGTTTGTTTACTTAGATTATTTAATTTAAATAAAATTTTAAAATTTTGATTAAATGATAAGGATAATTTAATAATAATAAATGGTCGATTCAATAAAGCAATGATAAGTTCATTGTATATTAGTTTTGATACACCGCCAATAAATTTTCATCATCTGACACGAATCTCGGGATAATTTTTTGAACAATCAACATTCAAAGTTTGATTAACAGTTATCCAGAGCTCCGATTTCAATAAACTTATAGTTAAACTGATCAGCTCAATGAGAAAGACCCAATGATATCAAAGTTTGTCAAATTTGAGTCAAATCAAACTTAGATCAAGTCATTAAACCATCATTGGAAAATTTTCAGACACATTTGAAAGGTCAAACTGATGGCAAATCTGGCAAGCTTATAGTTGAATCGAGCGTCTCGACAAAACGTATCCAATGAGATCAAGATAACTCAATTTCAACATTATTAAGGCACCCAAATGTCCATTAATTGCCGTTTGATTAAGGGAAGATCTCCGGACAGTCCAATCAAAATGATTCATATTCATGCATTGATTGCACCCAAAATACTATAAATAGAATCTCTCCCCTCTCATAAGGGTGGAGCTTGAGGCCTTAAGGAGGAGCTGCAGCTCAGCATCACTGTCGATAGCCGTCACCGTTGTCGACCACCGCCGACCTTCATCGACCACCGCCTATCGTCGTCGACCACTGCCGACCTTCGTTGACCTCCGCAAACCTTCATCAATCACCACTAACCAGACACAAACAGTCGACGTTGTAATCTGAAAGATATAGTTACTTTTTCTCGTCTGTGGGACAAGAGATTCATGTAATCATCAATCAATAGTGGATTTTCAGATCTAGGCTAGGCCCAATGGTTTTTCCCTTTCTGGATTTTCCACGTAAAATTTTTTGTAGTCATAACTATTTGTTTCTCTTTTATTTGTATGTGTTGAATTCTCGTACAAAACTAAGACGATAATTCGTTACTCTACCGTCATGGATTTTCTAGCACGCATCAAGTTCAGTTGCCTATTCTATCAAATTATAATTGAAGCTACATTAGAGCAATTTTATTAGTATATCAAATCTACCATAAGACTTGTTCACAATTGAATCATCTGTTCCTAGCCAATCCAAATTTTAAATCACTATTTAGAACTCTTCTAATAAGTTATTTTCAATGTGTTTGAAATTCTCAAATTGAATTCTTCTAATAAGTTGATTATCTACTTTTCAATTGTCTTTGTGCCTAAGAGAGAATCCATTAGTTCATACAAAGGGAGAGTGACTAAAACATTTAACTCTGTAATTTTAAAAATAGTATGATTAAACATAAACATATAAGCTTTACAAAATCTCTCAATAAATCTCTTAGATTGAATTGTATCTACATAGCTTCTTATTTCTTTAATAAGTCCAACATCTCTAATAAACAATTCTTGTATTGCTTCTCTATCTTTCATGATCAAATTTTCAAAATCATGAATTATAATTTGTAGCTGGATTGAGATCATTTTTGTAACATTTAAAAACTTAATTTAAGAATTTCTTATGCATGTTTTGATTGAGGTGGAGCCATCATTATTGAGAAGATTGTTTTGTTTACCCTTACAAGATCAGTAGCAACATCCTTGCGTGCTTCTTTCTATTGTCTTTGTACGAGAGGTGCTTTACATGTTACTAAGTTGCTAATAATTCATTTTATAGTTTCTCGTATCTTCATTCGACAAGTACCACAAGGGGTAATGCAATCACATTAATTTTTTTATTTTCATATAGAAATATAGATATTTCTCCTATTAAAATGCACAAATGAGCACGTAAATGTCAATTATTTGCATGCATAAATATTTCATTACAAATAAATATACATCAATTCACATATATTTACTTAAAAAACATGTAATTTCATGTTTCATGTTTCCATTGACAAATTTGATTTCTTTTAACATCCTTGCCCAAAAATAGATGTGTTGGGTTTATGAAGTGTTCTATATGGCCTTTAAATTGTGTACATTTATTATTTTGTTATTTTTTTCTTTGATAATTGTATTTATTAATCATTTTCTTAAGTGTAATAAGCCATAACGAATTCACGCGTGAAACATCATACTAAGGTTTAACGTGGTTTAGATCAGAAGTTCACAAGAAAATAATACATGTGGTCATCCGCACATTCATATTATGAGATTACACCCCAGATACATCTCAAATACATCTTATAAATACATAGTATCTTTTTCAAGTACATAACCCTTTTTTGGTCTGCAAATGCTAGCTTTGGAGGCTATTTTACAATAAATAGAATTTAGCAAAAAAATAATCAAATTATACAAATATAAATTTAATAGATTTTAAAAAAAATTAAAATCAAAAGATCAAAGAGATAAATTTCTATCTAGACCAATTTTTCAAGTACTATACTATATATTGATTAGATATTTTTCTTATATATTTTTTTAATGTAAGATATGTGAGAGCTAATATAGAATTATTTGGTGTTGTAAGATTAGGGATAGTAGAAAGCTTTCAACCTAATTTTGCATAAGAATCTCATAGATATATAGATAAATAAATGAAATAAAGTATGGGAGATGTAAAAACTTTTTATTTGAAAAATCTTAAAAGGGAAATGATTATAAGACCTAACTCAATTAAAATAATTCATTATATACACAAGCAATCAAAAATCTTTCTCTCTACGCAATTAAAGAATATGATATTTCAGTGTTTTAAATTTTAATTTTTATATTTTTTGAAATAATAAGGGCCACACCCAAAAATTCATTGAAATATAAACAAAAAATTACAAAAGATCTTATGAATAGAACTAAGGAGAAACAAAAGTTATGGACCTTTTGACTTCTGTAAGAGCGAACTCTATATAAAAAAAGATGTGTAAAAAAGAAAAATAACACAAATAAGAAGAGCTCAGAGCATACAACATGTTCAATGAGATAGCTCCATCCAAGACTAAAGCAACAACAATTAATGTGAATAGCAAGTAATTGTTATATATTCAAAGTTACCATAATCAATGAAAGTACTTGGCAGGATCTACCCAAAGAGTAAGTTGCATGATCAGGGTATAATATATGCCTTTAAGAGCCAAGAGAATTAAGCACAGAACAACATGTGTCAGAAACATCAACTACTTAGTTGGGCACATTGTTGGTGTTGTAAGAATTCATTGTTGCTATTCCAAAATATTCCAAAAGTACCTTTATGAAATGAAGAATTCAATCTAAAATGCCATGCATTCAAGTGTATCTCCAATGAAATTCTCGATTGTAATATAAATAATGAAGGGTGATGATAATGACCAGGTGACAACATTGAAGCAATAACAACTAGGAAATAACAATCAAGCAATAGAAGATAGACACTAACAATTAAGCTATGATTGTCGGTAGTTAAAGGATAATCGACGGACAATGTCAAACCTGCTATGTTGGTGGGGAGATTGTAACCGGACCATGATGATTGTTAGTAATGGTCATGAATAGAGCTCTTTTTTTTTTTTTTGCTCATAAGCAGGAATACATAAACATGTTAAATCCATCTGCTGGTATGTATGTATATGTATATATGTATGTATGTATGTATATGTATGTATGTATGTATGTATATATATGTATGTATGTATGTATGGCGTGTATGTATATATATGTATATATATGAGTTCTACTGAAAACTATATATTATATAAATATAATAATTTTTAGTTGTCAGGTTTTCTATACTTCTTATGAAGCAAAATGAGCTACTATGAGAAGAGTTTGGTTCCATGTTTGGTGGTACCTGTCTCAGATCGTAAAGAACTAGAGCAGCAGGGAGGGCTGAGCATTTGGCCGGTTCGAACGATTCGATTTTAAAATTAGTCAAATCGATTATAACGGAATCAATCAAAATTTAGATAAAACTTAATCGAAATTTAATTCGGTTTAAACGGTTAGGTCATGAAAAAACTAAAATTTAATTGTTTATTGAAATTTGGCTAAGAACAAGTAGTACAAATCACATATCTAGTCACATAATATCAATTCGATTTCATGAATCATCTATTTATTTCAACCAAATGTTACATATAATAAAATTTTTGATATTTTTTTTTTAGT